CCTGTCAGCAGACTCTTGACTGGGGTCTTTCTCAGCTCCCTTGTCCTCCGTCGAGACTACGACTTTGTCCCTTAAAGCTAGAACTTCTGACTTTGGACGGACACATACTTGGTCCTGCGTATCAGTGCCATTAAGAAAAGCTTCCCAGGCCTTAGAAGCCGATATGGCTAGGTGATCTTCTGCCTGATGGCTTGTTTCACTGTAGGTATCTGGAGGGTTTGCTTGGGGGGGTGTTGTTGTGTTACTGCCCCAATCCAGGGAAAGCAAAGGGATCTGGTGGTACATTAGTATTGGTGGCGTGTCCACGGCTTGTAGGCCGTGGACAACCGGCAAGTCGGTTCTACTTGGTATATTCAGCCTTGGGATGGATGTGGTACTTTCATCTGTGTTGGAAATACATGCCTTCTGGGTTTCCATTGCTTTCTGAGTTAAGTAGTCCTGCACGTGTGCCAAACGAGCAGCTTGATGTTTCCTACGACGATCCACCTGTCAAAAAACACAATATGGAGAGAAAAGGTGGTTTTCAACAGACTTTATTATGTCATGTTTGTAATGAGAGGCACTTATTGAGTGGAATATAATGTTGCACAATGCAAAATGAATTTATCTTTACTAATAACTTCCTACTTTGCATTTAAAGAGATCGTTCACCCAGTTGTTCAAAGCCTGTATATTTATCAATAGAAAAAACAGCTGGTTTTATTCTGGAAAACTACCCCTTTTATTGGTGAACTACCTCTCTAAATGCCCGCCTTTATCTCTGGACCTTGACAGAGCACTCATTGACCCTACCAGAGTTTTGCAGCAGTCCTTAAGGGATTTGCAGGAATTGATTCCTACTTCTTTTTCTGTTATGTTCTCCCTAGTATGCCTGGCCTTGGGTGTGACTTGTTCTGGAGAAGAAGAAAAAACTCAAACTCGGTCTCTTGTCAGAATCAAAGCTCCCTATTCCCAGATCTCCACATAAGAAACCCACCTGAGATCTCACCGCTCGCCTCTGCAGGTGTCGCCTCCCAGTAGGTCTTTTTACTGTAAATATGTGCCAAGTTTTCAATCACACTCACCAGCCATGTGTTCAAACATACCATCTCCAGTCAAAACAAAAAGTGCTTGATTGGACAACCAGAGAAATACATTTAGTTTAGAGTTACACAAAAATTAAGTTGACCTATTTAACAAAGTTTAGCCATGAAGCGTAAAAGGCTGGTTTTTAGTTCCGCTACTGTAAGGTGTTCTGAATCATTTTTAGTGCCGCTATGCAATTGGTAGGATGTTTTGGGTGGATGCCAAAAGTTTTGCTATGCGACTACTATCCTGCATAGCAACACAATCCTGTTTTAAAGACTATTTTTTTCTTCCAGTGTACATATATGGAATTTTTTGGACAGTTTTTTCATCTACAAGGCTAAAATTGTAAGTCTGATTACTTGGTAGAAGTAACAGCTCTTCAACAGTCCGATTTACTGTATCATTCACATCCGGGATGAGTTACACACCAAAGTTCAAATCCTTAACACTAAGCATGAGTAATAGTGATGATTCAAATGTATGTTTTTGCAGTGTTCCCCACCTGATTGTTTTAAGGCAGCTCCTGATACCTTTTTGGTTACTCTCCTCTACCGACTTCTCCTTTTCACTCTCTTTCTCTTTCAGATCGCTCCTTCGTCTTTGGTGGCAGAAGACAATGTAGTTCGTCCCTCCATTGTTGGCCCAGAATATTCCAACAGGACTTTCATACCACAGACAGAACTCCACCCGCAACCCTTCGACCTGGAACGGAGGCATCAACACGAGGTGGAAAGAGAAACAGTCCGTCTCGCCATCGCTGGACCCAGGCATGTACTCTGCTAGCAGGTCGAAGTGGCTCTGCCAGCCGTCCAGAGTGACACGGACGTAGATGGCCTTGTGGAAGCAGAGGTTAAGAACGCGGATGATGCCGTGGATTGTGGTGGATCCAGGGAGCAGCTCGATGCACTCCAGCTCCAACTTCTGCTGCTGAAGTCTCACCTCCATGTTCTGGTGCAACGCTGGGATATTGAAGAGGCAAGAGATGTAGTATTCCTCAGCTTCTCTACTATATACCTCCAGCTTAAATGAATTCTGGTTGTCATACTCCTTCACGGAAACCAGGTCCAGACCAAAGGCATCCGCAAATGACACCTTTCTTCGTACGGCTACCAGTGGGGGGTCAGGTTCCACCTCCTCGGATTCATCTCCAGAGCTTCCCTCTAATATCCGGTCCACCGTTTTCTCCAATTTTACGTTTTCCTCATTGTTTTTCATTATCCAGTCCATACAGATGGGAAGCTCCAGGTTGCAGGAGACCACAGAGGGTACAAGCTCTTCCCCAGACATGCCTGGGTAATGCTGGATGGCTAAAGCCTGAGAGAACAACACTAACCGCCTTAAACCCTCACTCGCAATGTGACTAGGCACAGAGCATCAGGTTGCAGCTGAACATTGTGTGGTTGCCAGGCTTAAAAATAGCTGCGAGTGCTGCCGAGCTATGCTGGACTTCCTGGTCACTAGTGTCTGGTAGACGTGGGACACTTTGATGTGTTCATGTCGTCTGCTGAACCTGATAGCTTTGATAAATGCTTTTGAATTATATATGTGTATCTGTACTGAAACAACACAATGCTTCTGTTTGGAAATGTAGAAGAGACCGGGGCTAGTTGTCACATGGGCAATTGGCTCAAGTTTTATATAAAACGGTAACTATGAGTTTTAAATGCTTGTGGTTTTGTATTTTAGCATCAAACAGCTAAACTAAAACCAATTTTTGTGAATTCTGGTCTTGAAACAAAGTTTTACAATGGTCATATTTTGTTATATCGGTTGGATAAGCAAAGAAACATAATAATTACCACACTGTCAGTGTCATTACATTCAGATAATATAATGAAAATATGTAAGGTTTTGGCAAGTTGTCATATTTTTTTTATATTTTTATACAATTTATAAAATTCTTTAATGATTGTTTCTTATGTTTTATTTTATAGTTTATATGTTGACTGTGTCTTGAATTGTTTTCTATTAGTTTTCCATTTGATCGAAAAGCCTTTCAGCCAGTTGTGCATTTTAAATACGTATCGTTTAACATTGCTTTTATTACATTTAGATATTATTTCATATTTCAAACAAAGGTATTTTTATCAAATAATTGTCAGTGAACAGTAGGTTCCTATTGTGACAACTTTTTTTTTTAATGTAGCCAAGACATGAATGACTAAAATTGACTTTAGTAAATATTTTTACTTCATTAATTTATAAAAATTTACACTTTTTGTTTATTTTATTTATGTGCTTTTGTCTTTTATTGTATAGCTATTTAATCAATGGTAGATTCTTATGAAGTGTGAATTCCAGAAAACTTTTGCGTTCAGTTTTTTTGTGCAGTATTACAATTAGCCACTAGGCGGCAGTGTCTAATCAAAGTTGTGTGCACACTGTTTGTTTCTTTGAGAACCAAAAGTGGATTCCAAAACATTCCTGTAGGTGGCAGCAAACCCTTATGTTTCATTCCAGCTTTCTCAAAATGATTTTTCTCCCCTAAAATCCATATAGAAAATGCATGTGTTTTTATTTCTTTGTGATAAAACCCATGAAATGATGCATTTTCTTGATTAAACCTTTTATTTAAATGCATGCATGTGGTGAAAAGAAGGCAATAAATATTCTATTTCTGATCAATTAACAAAAAATTCCTAACACCTCTGCAGACATCTGACAGATATTTATTATCAGATATTGGAAGTGTTAAAATGTTCTAATAAAACCAAGTCAAAATCTGCTATGCAGCCTATTTATTTAAATATGCATGAACAATATTTTGATTAGATGCAAATATACAACTTTTTTTTTAACATGACCATCCACCCTTTATACCATTATCATATTTAATAGAGATAGTTTTTGCTACCACAACATGTAATGAAGATAGTTAATTCAGACAGGGACAGGGATAATTAATTCACAAAGGGAGACTTATGATATTATCAATCTTTGATCTGAAAATCATTTTTTCCCCGTTTTATTTCAAGGCAGTGGCACACAGTTACAGTACAAATATGATGCATAACTCACCATTACAATATGTGTATCAGCTAAAGAGCTATAGTAATTCAAACACATAAATGGTCAAAAGCAAACATTTTTTCACAACATCAGTTGATCACTCAAATAAACAATATTTAATCACAATAAAAAAAAAAGCTGATTATCTACAGTGTTGTTCAGCTCGAGGTGTATTTAAATGAACCTGGGGTGTGTGAACTATTTAGCAAGTGTTGATAAATTTCATGCTCAAAGAAATAAAAATGTTGTGTTAAAAATAAATAAAATAAAGCTTGAATTTATTTTAAACAATTAAGGAAATAAAAAATAAAGAAAAGAAAGCACACAAAACAAAGCAACAAAGCACAAGAATTCTCAGTTGTTCCTTTGTTTTCAATGCTCTTCCACATTGCTAATCTACAGATTTTTTAATAGTATTTAACCTCTACAAATGACACTTTTAATGACTATATTTATTTGTTTGTTTCATTTGATTTATTCATAATAAATAACATATAAAAATGGATTATTTAATTATAAACAGATAAATAGGAATTAAAATTTAATTAAAAAAATAGTGATAATAAAACTGGTAAATAAAAGAAAAAGTAAATAAATGATAGCACTTCGCATTCCTGTTCTTCATCTCTACTCGTCTCTTTAACAAATGAAACAGTTGATCAATATTGTTTATTCTTAATAGTGTATTTAAGAGACCCGATTAACAAAAACTTCTAATGACTGTATTGTTTACCCAGCAGGTGGACATGAAGTCACGTGGGGTCGCAGTACGCCAAAAAATAACAACACCCCCCCCCCCCCAAACTCAGCCGATACATTGCGATGTATTGAATCGAGATACAAAAAACAAGCCGCCGCTTCGCGTTGCGCGTCATGCAAGCGCATTCAAACAGGAGTCGGTGTTACTCGGGCGTTTTTTTACAGTTGCATCGGTAACAACAGCAGCACACTGACTGAAGACAGCAGCGTCTCGCGACTCCGAGCGGAGGAATATCAACAGCGCGTGTTGTGCGTTTGTTTTTAGCGCTTTTTTAAACCACCGAGTCGTAAACAAGCCAAACTTTAGCGTCCGCGAAGGAGATACATTCACTTCTTTTGGTGAGTTTTCATGTTTATGCCTTTCATACGAGTTTGACTTCACTGAGAAGTTGCAGACGGGTTGTTTAGTGCTTGTCGGCTGGTTTATTTGTTGTTTTGACAGTTTTTGTGTTGTTAGAGAGTTTGGGAGAAGTCAGCAGGCTAACGTTACTGTGATTCTGTTCTTATAAACAATAAACAACCAGTGACAGTTTTGGCATATTAGATCTTTTTATGCTCAACAACTTTCGTTGTGTTTATAGCAGTGTTTATTTGTGAATTTTAGTTCTGAAACAACCTGTGTGAAACGTTAACATGCATTAGTTTGATATTGAAAATAATACCACAATTTCTATCAGTTTAACAGTAATCAGTTTTAGTTAATTCATTACGGCATAAAATGTAAACATGTAGAACGTGATCTATAATTGATTTAACTACATTTACTGTTTGTACAGTTATTCTCAAATGATTATTAGTGTTTCATAGGTTTATAGTTTTTCATTTTAGAAATAAAAAATAGGTCATTTATTAATTTTAATAGTGTCAATATGTATTATTAATTAATGTAAAAATTTGTCATGAAGTGTAAAAAAATACTTATAACAAGTGATATTTAAGATTATATATATATATATATAATAAATAATGTATAGTAGATTTTATTATTATTATAATTATAATCAAGGTTAACATTAATCTTACCGTGGTTGCTTGCTCCATTTCCATAATCCAGAGTGAATTCTTCATTGCTTTAGAGCTGCTCACAGCAGCAGTGAGTGTCAGGACAGTAAGGTTGATGTATTGGAGTGTTAATGGACAGCACTCCTCTTAAGACTCAGCCACATCTACTGCCAGTGCAGTTTCAGTGGGTTCAAGGGATCTGGGACTAAATCAATAGGGTACGTGACACTTCTCTTTTTTAAACAAGGTGTATAGTATTACAGCTCCTATCATGGCTGTGATTAGCTCTGAGAGTTTTGGTTGCAGAAGCACCTCAGTTTCACTCCGGCAGCTGTGCAGGTGAAGTGCAGGTGTGCATCACGGCGCTTCGTCACTCAGCGCTGTGTCGCTTCAAAGAGGCCGTAATAGCAGTAGTAAAATTTCAAACACATACACACACACCTCGGCAGCCCCAGACGTGCTCTGTAAAGTGAAGCCCGGCCCTTTGTTAGCCCCACGCAGTTCTTCGCAGGTGATTTTAATTAGCAGTGTTTCAATGAGCATGATGTTTCACGTACGACACATGGAGGGAGGGAGGCACAGCTGACCCACGACAGGAAAGAGGGGCCTAAATTCGAATGATCCTGGTGTTTTTGTAGTCGCAGCCTGATTACGGCATTCATCATCGGCTGGGGTGTGTGCAATGCACTGCTTTGCGCTAAAAGGAAAAAGACATCCTTTTTTTAGTAATGTGTGTGCATTGAGTAAAATAAAATCATTTGTCTGAGTTAAGATGCCACGGCAAGCTGAATACTTCTAGGTTATTCCTTTATTCATATCGAGAGTAATGTGGGTGGGACTGTTTCATTGTTTGAAATCATGAGTTTAAATTAATAGTTTTCACCAATATTTTTTTTAATGAATAGTTTTCTTTCATAAGGCATCTAACAAAAATAAATAAATAAATAAAAAATGCACACCTGAACTTGAACTTAAGGTGTTTTTAGGGTTTTTTGTTAGGGTTATTATCATCACAATAAGCAACATATTACCCTTTGTGTGTTTTAATATACATCTCTAAACGGTCATAAAACGACAGGAAAGAGGGGCCTAAATTCGAATGATCCTGGTGTTTTTGTAGTCGCAGCCTGATTACGGCATTCATCATCGGCTGGGGTGTGTGCAATGCACTGCTTTGCGCTAAAAGGAAAAAGACATCCTTTTTTTAGTAATGTGTGTGCATTGAGTAAAATAAAATCATTTGTCTGAGTTAAGATGCCACGGCAAGCTGAATACTTCTAGGTTATTCCTTTATTCATATCGAGAGTAATGTGGGTGGGACTGTTTCATTGTTTGAAATCATGAGTTTAAATTAATAGTTTTCACCAATATTTTTTTTAATGAATAGTTTTCTTTCATAAGGCATCTAACAAAAATAAATAAATAAATAAAAAATGCACACCTGAACTTGAACTTAAGGTGTTTTTAGGGTTTTTTGTTAGGGTTATTATCATCATCACAATAAGCAACATATTACCCTTTGTGTGTTTTAATATACATCTCTAAACGGACATAAAACTCTAATGGCAATTAAGCCGGAAAGCCTTCTGTTAGTATCCATGTTAACTTCACAGAAATGTTTCCATGACAACCTTCATGCACGTTAAGGCAACCAGAGGTGATCAAGTCTTTTTTTCTTTTTTCCCCTCCCTTTCCTTTCCTCTTGCAAGAGTGGAATTTGTGTTGACAGTTCTGGCCTTTAATGGCACTTTGGTGCCGCGTGAAAGTATTTGTTTACCGGGATCATATGCTGCTAGCTGTCAGCCTCGCAGAGATTGACTTCTCCAGATAAAAGACTGTATTGCATGCTTAAGAGGTCTTATGTGCCGTAATTATCCACATCATCCTAATGACGTTTGGTGTGCTTCAGTAACTAAGATACTGAGTGCTTCCTCTGAGGTCACCGATTAGAAATAAGAAATGCTTTTTTGTTGTATTAAAGCTTTTTCTTTTTTAGTGGGTGTCAGTGGATGTGAATTTTATGCTTATTTTATGGATTTAAATGTTCACTGCATTGACTAATGGAATGTTACTTCTCAATCTGAGGTTGCAACGCTCTAGACCTTTCGTTTGATTTTTTTTCCTTAAACATGGCATATAATCCCCAACTCTAGTCTTTTGACTGCGATGGCGCTCTTTCACACGAACGATATCACATGACCTTTATGGAGAGGTATTAAAACACCCATAAGCGTCTTATCTTAGTGCAAATGCCCTTGAAATTATTCATTGTATGCTTAGCTGATATTATCAGTGCTGAAATGTTTTGTCATACTTTTTTTTTTTTCAATTTGAAGGCATGACAGGGTCTTTTTGGCTGAAGGCACTGATTTATTGAGCGTTTTAGTCTCTGGTTGACTTAAAACCCCAGTCGTTGTGGATGAAGGGGAGGCGTCATTTGTAGTAAGCGGCAAGGTCAGCTCCGCTTGGACCAAACTTGCCCATAGCCTGTGATGAGAGGAAGTGTGGAAGTCGACTCGATGCTAGTATTTATGATGCTTTTTACACCAGGCTTAGTTTCAGCAGCTATGTATTCTTTAATTTTTTTGGCACAAATAATTTGGTTATTTAAAAAAAATATTTTTAAAGGTGACATATTATGCCCCTTTTTACAATATGTAATATAAGTCTCAGGGGTCCCCAGAATGTAACTGTGAAGTTTTAGCTCAAAATACCCCACAGATCATTTATTATATCATTTTGAAAATGCCTATTTTGAGTGGATGCAGAAACACGCTGTTTTAGAGCATGTCTCTTTAAATGCAAATGAGCTGCTGCTCCCCGCCCCCTTTTCCAGAATAGAGCTTTTTACATCCATTACAGCTCATATCTGCTAAAAAAAACATCTGTTTTGGTTCTGATTATCATGTTTATCGCTCTGAAATCATGCGTTTTAAACCACATTAGTTTAAACTTCTGATATAAGGTTTTCTGAGTGCACACATCCAAAGCACACGGACAGAAAGCGGCTGTCACAGCATGTGAGTACTAAACTAA